CAAAAGTAAATAAAGCATAATGGATTATTTACTATAGTGTTCACGTACACTAGCATTTAAGGGGACAAGTTTATTCTTATATTTCCTTGAATGAGATAGAAATAAATCTAAGTATGAAAAATAATATTTTATTAAATCAGTCTGAATTCCTTTTTAGTAGCAACCATATTGTCTCTATTTTTGCTTACGAAGTGAATGCAATTAATGCATACAAGTCAAAAAGTGTTCAAGGGCTGTGACAAAGTAATTGGCTTTCAACATAGGCAGTCCCTCCCTAGAAAACAATATAGAAATAGCACAGTGCACTTATTTATAGCATTTCCTTTGCATTTCATCCCATCCCATAAAGACCCCAGCATAACAAAAACACAAAGTGACCAACGTATGTTTCTCAGTAAACTCCCTTTATTTTGCTCACTTATGTTCTTTTATTTTGTTCTTTTTCAAAGGGCAAGAATACAAAAGATCAAGATAAAACAATATCTTACCCCAAACATCTTGCATGTACACAAACATGTCTCAATATAGGAGTCTTCCTTATATTTTCTTTATCATCCTTTTTAACAACAGTGTCAAGGTTTACCAAAACAACCACCTGTGCTTATGGTGAACCTTTAAAAAAATGTTTTTTAAAAAGGATGGGAAAAAGACTATCAAAACAGATCTTTAAAAAATTCTAAAATCTACAAGGAGCTGTTGAGTATTTCCCACTAAATTGTACAGCTAGCATACCGTCCGCATGTAAATCATACTGAATGGAATGCTGTCAAAATAAATAATATCTACTATAAACAAATGCAAATATCTCTTTCAACAAACCGTAAATAAAAAAAAATACCAGTCCTTTTACACAATAAATATTAAGAAACCATTGACATAGTTGAAAATATTCTCATATAAATTAACAACTTTAATTACATAAAGCAGAATTAAAGCAATTAAAAAAAAAAGTGAAAGTGGAATGCAAAGAAAACATTTTTTTTAGAATGAATTGGTCGCTAGAGTTAACATGTAAGAAAGAATTAGGGAATTACCATGTTTTCTCTTTATTTTACAAAATAAATATTTTTAATAAAGTATGCTAAAAGAATAAATAATTTTTTTGTTAGCTGATCTTTATCGATTTGACAATGGCAGTCAATGTGATCAACCCTAATCTTGTTTTTCTGTAAAATTGTATAAGTTGATTTTGGAAATAAAATATTTTAAATACCTGTATTTTATAGCTATAATCATTTCAAATATAGGCATTCATGATGTTATGCATTTTAGCTATGGTAAAGCATCTTATGTTTACTGCTGTGAAACTGATTAAAACTTTATTTTTAGGTGACATGATTTATACACATTCTGGTGGAGAAAGGTGATCTGTATTTTTTTTTCAGTCTGTTAAATGTAATTTATTTGTTTCTAAAAGTTTCCCCACCCCCCTAGGATAACATTTCTTCATTGTTTGTAGTCTGATTTTGGGGCTTTTTAAAATTTTATTATTTACATACATGGAATTCATGGGTCACGTATTTAATTTTAAAGTCAAATATAGGTTAGCGACCACAAAGGACTTCTGAAGAAAATACATCTAAAAAGTATGGAGGAAACTGACATAAACATAATTTTACAAAATTCTAATGATGAAAAGCTTTATAAGATATACAGAAAGCTATAGTTGGGACTTCAGAAAAATGTGGTAGCATTTATCAGTAATTATTTTTTTTCCAGCACAGCCACCTAAAAGGATGGTTGTCTTCTATGTAGCATGGCCTGTGAAAATGGTTAAATATGGTAGCAATTTATATTGCTATTTGTGGACATGCAGATTTCATTAGAGTAAATTGTCTTCTGTGCTGTTCGGCTATGGTCAGCCTTGATTGCTGCGCCACTTTTCTCTCATCTTATGCAGATTTTCTATTTCCTGGGATAACTACATAAATTATAAAATATACCTTCTGTTATCACATCCATTTATTTTCTTTATTCATCAGCTCTTTTTCTAGCTTAGATTTGACTTTTTTAACTTATTAAAGTAATGTCTTTCTCTTCACCGGAGGCTTTACAGTGGCTCTGGGAGTTTATTTTCTAAAAAAAAATGGATTTTTGCTTTTGATAAAATAAGCCAGTATTTACTCCAAAATCATATACATGAAACAATGCGTATTACATAATTTCTTCTATACAATTTTTTAGTTGGAGTTATCACAGGCTAATTTCACTGACACTATTAAATTACCTTTTTAAGCAGATCAACTTCATACATTTAATGTATTTTTCCTCTAAGTAACTACACACCGCCCAAAAATACATAAGCCAGGCCCAATTCTAAGAATGTGGCACAATAAACAATCTGGTTGTGTGATAAAAACTAAAGGGGTTTTTCATTTTTAGAAACAGACTCCAGTTTATGACCTCTCTGTATACCAAAATGAATCACCACACAACATTTACACCCCTTTGTAAATGGTCAGATGGTCATTAGACCATCTTGTAGATGGTCATTAATCTGTATGTTGTTTATAGTGCCATAAAAGATTACGTCCAAGTGGCAACATATTTTGTCATGAATGGGTTGCCATACAAGGCTTCACCTGTGACATCACTGCAGATGAAATCGGATAAATATATTCCATCAGTGATGAAGTGGCTGCTGCGGGAGTTAATGATTCTATGATGTTCAGCTGAGTGGCCTTAACTGGAAGTCCCATAATAGAGTTTTGCAGTAACTATACTATATAAATATAACAGTTGTGGCAGTTGTTTTAAATGTTATAATGTTAATTGGACTATTTAAATCAGACTCATGCCTGGGGTTTGAATCCTGTAAACACTGGCTAATAAGTAAACTATAAGATGAATACCTATAACGTATGTTCGGTGATGTTGGAATATAGTAGGATGCCTTTCCATTCTGATTGGCTGTCTCATGCCAGTTGTATGTTTGTTTCTTCTGGACCATCAGTACATTGTTAGAAAGTATAAGAATTGTATCTTTTTTAATTTTACAACTGTACTTTTTAATGTGATTTTTCATATTTTATGTTTTAAAAAGAAACCATTGAATTTGTATGAAGTATTGTACCTAAACATGTTGGTTAGAATGGAAATTTTAGATTTTCTGCAGTTTCAAGCAAAAAATGTTTAATTTTTAAAGCACTGAAATGTTTGACAAATTCATGAAATGCTAGTCAAAAGTAAAGGAATTTAGTTATGTATTATATTTCTTTAAATCATTTTCTACTCAGATGCTTCTCTATATTAACTCTGTAACTTTGTATGAAGCTTTACAAATTTACCACTTGAAAAGATTTATATACAACAGTGTATGTGTTACACTATGTTCTACTTTGCATTTCTTTTTACCTTTTTCTTTTTTATCTTTTTTTTTCCTTTTTCTTTTTTTTTTTGCAAACTGCAAACAAGTCAGAAATGTATCAGTATAAAATGCAAATATATGAATAAAACATTTGCCTTACAATGCAAGCTAAATACTGTGGAATAAATTAAAAATAGTTATAAGCATGTATTATGATTAAACTGCACAAAAATGGGATATTTTGCACCTTATTACACATATACATATTTCAACGTGAGCACTTAATGTATCGTTGCTGAAATCATTTTTAAATATAAATGCAGCAAAGTGATATGTTTTCAGTTTCTTCTCTATTGTGTGAAGATTGTTGTTTAATTTGTATTTACTTGAAATGTGTTCCCTGTAGAAAAAAAGGATAAATAATCTATAGCCACCAAAAAACAGTAGCCAAGGCAAGATTTTTTACTATGGATGCATATTATGGCAGCAGCTATATGAAAACTAACATAGTGGGAGATATTTTTAAAATCTGCAACATTTGTAATTATTCAGAAAAAGTGGTTTTGTTACTTACTAGTGCAGTTCCATTAAAAAATTACAGGTAACATCTAAAACAGCCAAATTGCTATACAATTGTGTACAATCACGTGTGCACAGATGTCATTAATGTGCTCCAGTTACATGGTATGCCATGTTTGCCATAATGTTCTTAGTTGTATGCCACACAGTATGAAGCTTGCATTATCGTCAAAACAATGTCATTTTGTGCATATTCACAATTCTGAAATTCAAGAACATATGTCAGCATGCTAAAATGGTTATCCAATTAGTGGAATGGTTAACCAAAGAAGAAATATGCAATAGAGATAAGTTGCTGAAGTGCCTTTTTTAAAGGAAACAAAGGCTGCCTGGAAGCAGCATAATTACCCAAAATGGATGTAGATAAAGTATACAATTTTGGCTTTGATACATTTTCATTTACACTCAATCCTTTAAATTCTTCCTTCCCATGTGCTCAGTAATTACCAACCGCAGGCAGACCTAAATCTTTACACACATGTCTTTGGTGTAAGTGTCTCATTTAAGGTAGAAAAATATTGAAAATAGTCATAAAAATAGCTATTTTGAAGTGTGCTGTAGCAGTTCTCATATATCTCATGTTAAGTGCAGCTCTTAAAACCTCTCTCGAAAAAAAAATACTTGTTAAATAAGGATATTAGACAGGTCAAATACTGTTGTAGTGCAAATAAAAAGAAACTTTTTTTTTTTTTTACAAAATATAGAAATGTTTGGTTCCAGTACCTGAACCAACATGTTCCTTTCAAGTATCTCTCATGAAAGAACAAAAATATTAAACATGTTTCTTCCATTGAAAAGTCTTTTTCTTTTTTTTTTCTTTTTTGGGTAAACAGTTTTCAAACCCCATAAGTTGCATAGTTCTAAGATCTTAAGCACCTTGATGAAATTTAACTTTGTATGATTTTTCTTTTTTTTTCCTTTTTTTTAGTATGCAGTAATAGTGCAAAGGAAGAAGTTGAGTCACCTGCACAGTACAGTTATTAAAATAAAATAAAGGGTTGAACTAACATGGTGCTTTAGATCTATTTCTGAATATCTATTTATACAACCTGTATAAATGCCTTTACATTTACACAAACAGAATTGTGTTGTATATATAGATAAACAGGTGTATTCTTGTGCCTCTGTATATAGTATCCAAGCTCAAAGCTATAAGAGCTAGAAATGTCCTTTTCATATACCAACTGCAGCAGGTGCAGAACGTGCTCTTCCTTCTCAAGTTCATCTCCCGTTGATCATTACCTACTTGCAAGCCAATTGCAATTTTTTTCTGTGATTGGTGTGATAGCAAGTGTTCAGTTTATGAGCAACCACATTCTTCCACAATCATGTTCTGGATATCCTTCTTAATTATGTTTTGTCCATCATCATAATAGAGCATTGACATAGCTCTCAACTTAGATGGAACACAACAAGATTTAATGTTGTTGAAGGGACTGTGGCCTTTAACTCGATACTGGTGGATTACTGTGGAATGGAATGAAAGAGATGCCCCAGAAGTCCCCGCAATGTGGTTCGGGCAGTCTCCCTCGCAGTAATTGGCATGATAGCCAGGAGGTGCTATGATCCAATCGCTCCATCCTATATCTTTGAAACTGACATAAAATTGCTTTTTGCAGCAATTGTTCACTTTACCATCACATTCAAGGCCTCGTTTCCTTCTTCTATGTGGGTGCTCATCTGTTTGCTGAGCAACGATCATTAGGAACGGCCTATGTGACTGTTCTTTTTCTTCTTCACCTCCATTTGTACCTGCTTCTCTCTCCTCATCATCTTTTCTCTTCCTTTTCCCAAGAAAGACAGGAGTTGCCCCAGTCTCTTGGCATTGATCACAAGCCACGCGAATGTCCATAGATGACTTGCCATGATTGAGTAAGCGCTGGATGCTCCCAGAGATTGGGAATGTGTGCCAGCCACTTTTCTTTGTGTCCACCACTTTCTCAGCAATCAGAACTTCATTTTTATTTGATTCAGATCCTCTATGTTCCTTCTGAACCCTCTGCTGCTGGTATAGCCGTATTGTTAATCTAGCTCGGCTTCGGTTGACTTTAGACAGTTTTAAAAAGAGCCAAAGTTCTGCTTCCCGGATTATCAATAGGTCACTGCCTTCTTTGGAGATTTCAAAGTGAAGCACTTTCTTTGAGGGCCCTGCGTATTGCAAATACAGAAAAGAATGTTAATAAATATCATGAAATTCCATATGAACAGAAAACAATAAAATGCCTAATTTCTGCACAAGTACCAGAACGTTTTGAATTTACTACTACTACAATTACTATATATATATATATATAGAACAGGGAATTTAAAATTAAGTGGTAAAAAAAAGTGAATCTACCACAGGCTCAGCAGGACAGAGGAGGCATCTAAAACTTGCAGGTAACCCAGACAAAATTATGACATTGTATAGGATTTTACATAGAAGACACCTGGTGATTTGTTTTTAAGCCAGGTATTCTTTTCCATTTATTTTTAATTTTGAATACAAATGAGAAAGGTTAGAACTTTTGCTTTCTCTGTGACTCCACTGGGGAGATTTTAGCTCACTTTTTATCTCTCAGACACCACAACCACAAATTAGGGGAATTGGGCCATTGTTACAGAAAGCCACAGAGAACATTAAAAACCTGACTGAGATTGTAACCTTTCTCCACTCTACTAGGGACTGTTTGTCAAGGTAAAAAATGTTCCATTGGAGAGATTTCCCTTCAGTTTCCATGTCTCTAATCTCTTGTCACTGAAACATGAATTGTTGGGAAATCTTTCCAGTAGGAATCAGACCGCTATAGATATCGAACAGGGTTTCTTTCCCCTTTAAAAAGAAAATTGTCTACAGTTGGCCCTATGTGTTGTTTTAAGAAAAGATGGTTTGGCATACATAGTAAGCTAATGTTGACAGCAACATATTTTATTATATCATACCTATTTTAAAGCATTTGTGATGCAAGTACACATTTCAACTAGGCATTTTACCAGATAAACAAAAAAGTTATGTTGTCTTTAGTTATTATAAACAACACTTTAAATTCCCTCCCTAGGCCAAAGTTTTGTAAATAAGCCAAATATGTTTCACTCTTTTACTATGACTGTAATGATGTGAATGTTGTAATTATCATAATTAAAAAAAAGTCATCTCTTCATAGCCATTCTACAGCTATATGCTTGGTTTGCATACACCAGAGTACTTCCAAGTTAAATCAAAAGAAGAAACATAGCTTAAACACACCATTATGACTGCAGTAACTGCACATGGTTCCAAAGTGTCTACTGAAGAATGTAATAGAAAGAAGCATTTCTCTGAGCTGGTAATGACCTGAAAGCTATGGGTCTATCTAGCTAATTACCTATCTATGGACTTAAGTCCATAATACCAACATGCCATGTCATTGTCTGCACATGTCATTTAGACATGTGCACATGGCATTGTATGTCATTCAGACTGGCTCCCTATATTGGTTATAAGTGTTTGTGGATTGCATAAGCTAGATTTATAAGAAATTTTGAGGAAGCTTTGTCGCTGTCATTTATGTTTCTAATTTAACATGCTGTGTACGTGTTAATTATAGAACACTGCGGGTAGATATGCTGAGGAATGGATATAATCAAGGAACAGCATTTTTTGGGATGTTTTCTCTTATGCATATACTTGTTGGCATAATTGTGCTGATCGTGAACATCATGATGTGGGGGCGTTCCCTTGATAAAGACTCCATGTTCTTGGCAGAGGGTGAAATGAGTAATAGGTTCTGCTGGGTTATTTGATCATGAGCAAATGAAGTGTTTCTTATTATAACAAGAAATACTTTATTAAGAGAATGTGAAATTTTAAGAGAGATTTGTTTTAATAAAGTCGATGGTAAAATGATCAGTGCTGTGTGAGATAAGTGATATAAGCAGTTTAGGTGATGACTAGTTAGCATAATGTTTTATAGCCTTCAAATTCGTTCCTACAGCACAGCCAGCCCTGTGTTAATGTCTGCCAAAACATGTTGTATACTGATAACTGAAGCAAATAAAAAGTGAGGTGGTTTTTACTTGTAGAAGAATTTTAGAGCTGATGTACTCTTTAAACTGAATAGCACTGAAAAACAAAATAACTAATTCACTGATAGGGTCCAGCTAGAAGCATTCTATTCAGGAACTTAAATAGAGTTTACTTGTATGCCATCTTCACCAGCTGCAAATACCAACCTTTGCTCCCTCACAACTCTTTTTAGTTGCCTGGGAGTGAAGAGAGTTAGCCCTAGCTCAGAGGTATCTGTGAGTCAGGACGTGGACCTTACACAGGGCTAGGGACACATTCTCAGCCTCTATATGACAGTGCTGGATGTATTGGCAAAGCATATGTTTGCTTAAAAATTTTTTTTTTTTTTTCATTGTTATGTTCCTTTATGTACAAACAATTAAACAAATAAGTAGAACCTTAAACAGACAACCTCAACCAACTTCTTATTTATTTTCTATTGGATATTAGAACTAACCTGTTAGGCAATGAAACACAGGGGCTAACTTGTAACCGTTTGCACAGTGTATAGCTGTGCAAACGACATTTGCACTGCCCTACTGCCACTAGATGGAGCGGAAGAGCATAGGAATTTTCTGTGCTCCTCAGCTCCATCTAGTGGTAGTGATATGCACAATAAAATTCAGCTCCATGGTGTATTCCTCCATTGATGATACAGGGCCTTATGTATCAATATGCTCTCTGTTAGAACTGCAATTAATTTTGCTCACACACCAGTCGAACCAGCGTCAAACCAGCCCTGAAAGTTGAATTTGATTGGTAGCGGGGAAATAATTTCACTTCTTAGCAAAAACATGCCATGGCAAAAATTTTTATTAAAAAGGAAGGGAAAAGGGTTAGCCAGTCTGGCTTTTATTGTTATGTGGGACTCTATTAGAGAGATTTTCCCTAACTTTACATTCTGCTGACAACATTTACCTAGATAGGAAGTGAGCTGAACTCTCTAACAGCAACACTGCTAAAACGTTGTCAGCAAGACAGAAAATAAAGAAAAATATCTCTCATGAAGACCCGGATATCAGTAAAACCCAGATAGGGCTATAACCCTTACTCGTTCCATCCCCAAAAAATTAATACATTTGGCTTGATATAAACTTTAAGGGCTTTTGTGGCCTTAATGGGCACATTAGAAGGAGGTAAGTAGCATAAGTGCTTCAAAAGATATGCTGCAACATGATTATGATGACATTCTGCTGTATGTCCATGCACAGCTTCCCTGTGGGAAGGTGTTATGTGTACCCTAGACATAGAGCTGTCGTACATGGACAGGTTACAGCCACTGATACGTTATCCGAAAGAAGACTGAATTCTCAGGTAGCATAGTGGCTGTTTGCACAGAAGAAGTGATCAAAAAGTAAACGCCTACTGAACATTGAATATTTATATATCCAATGTTATCAGCAGACTAAATAGTTTGTAATTATTTAGGCTTCCTGCACACAAGCACCCAGAGAAATGCATTTTTTCCTGATGCCTGCTGTATAGGAATTCAAATGTGTAAAGCAGATCAGCACAGGTGGGCACCTAACAAAATGTGTTTTTAGCTGCTTTGGTCTTAATCCTTGTCAATTGCACTCCCCAAAAGAGGGCACAAAGCTGGTCCTCATGCATTAAGAGATAGTGTACATGGGCTTCATAATCAGAAAGAAGTCAAAGGCAGGAAAAGTGCATGCATTTGAGATCATTTTTAGTTCTGTTTGACGTCAGTGTGGAATTCCTTTCATTTGCATTCAGATTGTATAAAGAAATAAAAGTAAAGTAAATGCAATAATGAGAAAAATTGTACATTGTTTTATAAAATCCAGGTCAGAATGGAAACACCATTTTCCAAATCTGTCATGAGTGCAATGAAATGCCTACCTGCCTCTGAGAAGACATTCCAAACAAAGTTCATGCTTTATTTGTATTCCTCCATAGAAGTGAATGTAAATACATAGTACGTTCATGGTTAATGCATTCAAATGCATCTCAAGGACTCTTGTACAGTAGCCCTTATTGCCTAAGTTTATAGCCCCATAATAAAGGCCAGAATCAGAGTTGAAAGTAAGAAATCATTCCCCTTAATATAAACCCAAGAGAAATCCGGATTGGTCTGTCAATGCTGACTTTCTCCTGAAGCTTTTTGCTGCATGGATATCATGCTGACCCACTGGCTTCAGTATCTTCCAAGTCAATGACCTGGATGCACATCAAGACATTAAGACAACGTCCTGATCTGTATACTTGTTCTATGTCAGTGACACAAAGTTTTGAAGCCATCAGGTCAGCACAGCAGCCAGGCAACTAGCATATTCAGATGTAGAGATCAACTTCATTCGCAGAAGGGTGAGGTTACCAAAAACATTGGACACACCCTCTTTCCGCATTGTTCCCTCTCTGCAAGATGCACAAATTTGGGTGACAGCCAGGATATCCAAGGTCTGAGCCTGCGAATATAGATGTATTAACTGTGTTTAAAGCAAACCCTTTGCTATACTATACTTCTCCAGGTAAGGCATACCTGTAAAAGAAGAACATAAATACTTATCTCTCCTGCTGCCTGTGCCATCATACACATCTTCCTTCATGAGAAATCATACTCTGAAGTCTACCGGTAAACTGACACTAGTGTCAGGAGGAGTGTCGATCTCCTAGGTCTTTTGCAGCTCTCAATGGTTTCTACTGCAACTACTGTATATATTTTAAAGCTGAACTAAAGGGAAAATTAAAAACTACCCTTGCAGTGAGGCTACCTTAACCGAAAAAGTTAAACCCTAATTTTTGTCTAAGATACCGTTTAATGCAGTTATACTTACCTTTTTGCTCCCCCAGGCTTCACCGCTCCATCTGTTGGTTGCACTCTGATGTCATACTTTACAATGAAGGGCCAGCAATCCTGCCTTGTAAGTGTGGATGCTGAGGGCCTTTCCACACCTTGGAGCACGGGTTGAAAGAGGAGAGCGTAGGATGACAGTGGAGACAGGGGTAATGTAAGTAAAACTGCTTTTTAATGGTACCCTAGACAAAAGCATGCATTTAACCTTTGCAGTGCGGGAGAGAAGTTCTGAATTTCCCCGGAGTGCAGTTTATGTAAAAACATATAAAAGTGATGCATTTAGAGATTGTGTGATTTGTTTTTCTCATA